TTCATTGGTGTTTAAATGAAGATTGCAGCAGAAATATCATCAACCAAGCAAATAACATGAGAAAGTTATTTTTTACACTGAAAGGATGAAATCAGACAGAAATCAAAAACACGACAAATGTGATTCTTCACTTCTCAAAAGATGTGTGTGTGGAGAACATCTCCAGCCATGGGATCAGCTGCCTCTTCAAGAAAACATACTTAGCAAAATAATGTGTGTGCGTGTGTGTTTTATATAGTCTTTAAGCAACACTTGGTTGTTCAAGGCCGTGTGAAAGAAAGAGAAAAAAAGTGAGAAAGCACTGTAGGGCGGACAGGCATGCGACCAAGTCCCCCTCCTCCCCACACACACACACCCAAGCACACATACACACATACAGACACACGCTCTCCTGCCGTTGCAGCCCAGTGAAGCGGCACAGGGCAAAGAGGGAGGGATGGGGGGGGTGGCGGCGGTGTCGGCAGGAAGGGGAGGGGGTGAGGTGCACAGAGGGCGAGAGATGGTGATGTGGAGGGGAAGGGGTGGGGGGTGCTGTTGGGCGGCGCTGGGAGGTCAGTGGCAGTGCAATCAAGCATGCCTGTGCGCCTCTCGCTCTCTCCCCTTTCCCTCTTGTTCCCTTTCCTCCTCCCATATTCCCTCTCTGTCTCTCTCTCTCTTTCTGTGTTCGTACTGGCCGCTGAAGTCACCATGGGTGAGCTTTACAGGTGACCACCACGTCTCTCTCTCCCCTGCATGGCAAACGCAGGGGAAGTGGAGGCGAGAGCGCAAAGTTTAGAAAATTGAAGTCAGGTTTTCTGATGTTTTGGTCCCAACAGGAGTAAAATTTAAACCAGACTATCAATGGAATCTCCTCTAAAGTTTGACATTGTAATAAAACACACAAGGACAATTAAATACACTCCTTGATGAGATTTAGACAAATCCCACACAAAATTACACTTTATGGAGCAAAGGTAGATAAACTCAAAAGATTCAATATAAACACAGTTTGGGTTTGTCCATATTTATCACACACTGTCTTTTTTATCACAATATTAACATTAAACAAAATGAGTTACAAATACAAACTTATTTTTAGAATTGATTTCCAAATATATGTAATTGATTATAATGATCTGCAAAATCATAACTGTCTTAAAGCTACATTACAACGTTTAATAATAATCAACAACTGTTCAACATTGATGTTGTCTTGCTGGTCTTATATACACTGTGTGTGCTTGTCAGTGCAACCATCAGAGGAAATCACATGTTGGCACACACTGACTTATTTTAGTTGCTTAAGAACTACTTAAGAAGCTGAGTTAGCACTTACAGTTCATACAAGCTAACAAACATACATACACATTCAGCTCTCTATCAGTCTGGCTGACAAGGACAAGAATGGCTAATTTGCTAACAAAGAAAGTGCTATTTAGACTGTTTATTTTCACTGAATTATTAATAAATGGGAAAACAACAAAAGCAATGACCATGTTTTCTCATGTAGGTTCAAGCACAATGCTTACAGAGTTTCTACATGTGACTGGGATGCAATATTGATCGTATTAAAAACTTGATTTCAATAATTACTTCTATGCAATCTCATTTCTTAATGTCAACAAGTGTGATGTATTTTCTTTAGTCTTCTGTTGCATCAAAACAAACACTTCTACTTTCTCCCTCAGTGAATGACAACACAGCATTAGACCACGTGATGCAGAGCAGCAGAAACCAGAGATTAACACCAGAAAACACAAAGAAAAATACTTGTTGAAAGGTTGTAGTAAAAGCAAAAAAGAGAGTGACACAGTTAGTTTTTATGTTCAGTGTCAGATTCAGCAAGCTGTTGCGGGAAAAGATTGCAATAAATATTTATGTTGAAATCGTGAGAGAGAATCGTGATCTCAATTCTAAACCTGAAAATCCTGATTGTAATTTATCTAGAATCGTGCTGTTCTAACATCTGCCTCACATTCCAGTTGATATTGATCTCTATCAGCGAGATTAAGACTCATGGTGAACAAACAGCTCATTAGAGGCTCACTTAATCTCTAATTTGTCCAATACACAGAGTGATGCAGACAAAAGTGCACAAATACACTTCACATGATCACAGCTCTGTACACTTCTGGGCCACTGACCGATTCCAGTGTTACCATAGCAACGTATTCAGAGCAGCACACATGCACATAAACACAAAATGTATAGCGGAAGCCGCAGCTTACAGTAGGTAGTTGATCTCTGAAGCCAACATCTATTTGTATGCTAAAGCGTGTATGTGTGGATGTTTTTTTGTGTTTGTACGCGCCTGAGTGTGTGCATGTGTTTGATTCCACTTTGCAAGAGGAGCCCTTGATTGGAGGAGGTCTTTAAGAGCCGGAGGAGGGGAGTGTAATTTCCTCCCGGCCTCCGCCAGTTCCGCTGAAAAAACAGAGCAGAGGAAGCCCAGCTCTCCCTGGAGGAGACACACACATACATACATGCACAGTCACACACGCAAACACACACAGTAAACAGGCAAGTCAGCCTGCCATCACAATGACAAATAATCGCAGACATGCACACAGAAAACACACACACACACACACACACATACAGAGCCAAGAATAAAAGTTCAACAAGTATAAACAATGTTCCCAGACAAAGAATAAACTTCAAGGGGCAACTTTATCAATGTTTACAGCTACCGACAGAGACAGAAATCATTTAAGCACCTGATTATCACATAATAATGGGCTTAACAGAAAAATAACACACCTTGACAGCTCGTGATCAGCAGCGCATCAATCATAAAACTGATTTAATTCCAGAGCGTGAAGGAACATTATTATGATCATATTCAAATTCCAAACTGTTGAGTGTAACAACAGTTCACTTTGTGCCAGGTCGTTGCAGACAGCTCGTGTCAGGGCCGACGCAGCAAATTAACTTCCACGAGTTCTGAGCAGGCAGGTGAAATGTCTTCCCACCAGCTGCTGAACTTTTTTTTTTTTTTATGATCGCTTGCCTCATGCCTATAGCAAAACAAGATCACTCAAAGTTCAGCCGTCAAACTTTCAAAATAAATGTCTGCATGAGGTAATTTGTGTCAGTGGGCAGGCATGTAGTGTGTGTGTGTGTGTGTGTGTGTGTGTGTGTGTGTGTGTGTGTGTGTGTGTGTGTGTGTGTGTG